GTCATGTTGTGCGTGAAAACTAAAATATTTTGATATTGATTGATGATTATGTTATACTTCAATTTAATGCCACCATCATCCAATTCTTGATTTTTAGAATAATACATCAATTTCATTATTATTATTATGTATCGATTATCATCACAAAAGAAAAATCAGTAAATAAATATATCCATACTTTTGTACTTGCATTATTTTCTATTACTATCGCCGCCATGCTGGAAATCTGGGATAATTAATTAATAAATGAATGAATAAATGAATGAAATAGAAAAACAATTCTGATTGTATTACTCGAAGATCCTTATTTACACTTTCAATAAACCTTTATATAATATAATATAGGTTAAAACAAATATAAAATAATTATGATGATAATAAATTATAATTTAATTATTGAACTATATATAATGCTCCAACGACTTCAATTAAATTAATTATAGTTGTTGTTTTCAAGCAGTAATAGTGATTGTTATAAATAAAATTCTTAACGACTTTATATAATTTTTATATTCATATTCAAAATACCTACTCTTCAAAGTTTGTTTTTCTTTTTGTAGGGCTACATGCTGAAAATCCATGATTTTTGACTGCTTTTTTGAAAAGATAACTTTGTATTTGTAAGGAAGGATCTTTCAAGATAAAAGATGCTAATTGCAACTACTCGAAAGTTTTCAGTCCAAGACCTGTAAAGCATAAAATTCAATATGGAATGTTGCACGATTTTTTCATTCAAGTTGATGCAAAGTGAGCTCATATCGCTGCGCAATATTGTCACCTTTCGAAATGTTTTGAGATATATATAATAAATGAACTTTTTCAAAGTAAATCTTTTCTTTTGAATTGAAATTAAGAAAAATGAATTTAGGGATTGTTTGGATGGAAAATTACATTATAAGAATGTTCTACAAAAGACTAAAGATTTCTTCAAGAAACCCTAACTTCTATCCAATTACACAAAGATGAGTGATGGTAAACTCTTTTTCAGTGTCTTTAAAAAATTTCAGAGCTCCAGCTTGCAAAAGGCATCCTGAAAGTTTCTTTGCATATCTGATTAGATCATTATCTGAATCAGATGTAAGATGTTTCCTGATACGACTGACCGCAATAATCTTTTGCTGTGAATGAACTCTGTGAAGCGATTATTCCAAGTGCTAAAGTTGAGAACAGGCTATTGATAGCATATACATAACATCATCAGGAAAACTAATACCAAATGCTTGTAAGTTTCTATATTAAATTATGTAAGAATTGTGCCGGCTTGTAAACTTATATAATTCTTACACAAGAGTTACAAGCGTTCTTACGTGAAATGTAAGTTATACACAAACCTACATCAAAAAAATTTCCTGACGCAAAGGAAAAAAGCAATGTTACAAACATTATATCAAACATAAACAATGCTGCTTCCTTGGTACTAATTACAATCAATGCATCATGTAATCTTTCCCACTTGTCTCTCTTTTCCTTCTGTTCTTCCTCTTCTTCAATCAAACCTTTCATTTCTCTTCATTTTCGTACTCCTTCTTTCTCAATTTCATCTCCAATTCGCTCAATCTCTCTAATTCTTTGACATACCTATTGTATTCTTTATTTGTCCGTTCCAACTTTCGTTCGATTTTTCGATGGTACTATATTTTTCATAAGCAAAAATGTAAAAGTTTTTTAACTAAAAAATTATTGATATCACCTGTGCGTCTGCATCCATATCTCAATGGTAACATTTTAATACCCAGGAAAAAAAGGTCGCTGAATATTTTTCCTTTTTTTTTCTGAATTGTAAACATGTATGATAAAATAAAATAAAATAAATATAATATAATAATATATTGTATAATATAACTAACTTCATCACTTCAGTACTTTAGAAAGGATCACAAATTGCATCTTTTAATTATAATTAATACAATTACACTGTGCAAACGTGTCATAGTATTTTGTATGCCAATAAGGTTTTTGTATGTTAATAATATTTAAATATTGTTTAATAAAAGACATTCTTGTATACCAATAGCATTTTTATATGTGAATAACATTTTTGCATGTTAATAACATTCATTAATTAACTGAAATTTATATACACACATACAACAAAGTTCTGCACCTCAATCTGGACGTCCAAAATTAATTGGTGAAGAAAAAGAACGAGTTATAAATATCTTTGCTAGTGGCTGGTAAATCCACTTTTAAATCCCGAATTACAACTATTTCATTTAATTTATAAAGTGATTGTTGGAATTTATATCTTGAAAATTGTCCTTTTAATCTTTTTTTTTTTTTAATCAATTTAGTATAAACATAAACATATTATTATCATTGTTAATATTATGTAGATATTTCAAAAAAAAACCCCCATTCTTTTAATATATTTACTTTGCGCCATCGTTAATTATATCCAAATGTTCCTCAACTGCCAAGTTTCCTCCCCAATGACTTATTTCTAAATCACGTCTCAATTTCCTAACCGTTAATATTGCTGCTATCTGTTCATAATGAACTACCATTTTCTCATATGAGTTAGGTTCTTTATCTACATATAATCCATATGAAATCATATTTCCTAAACGAGTAACTGGGTAAGGTTTCTCCGTATGACTAATAATATTAAATGATGGCAGTCTTCAATTTTTTTTTTTTTTTTTGAGAAAAATATATTATTATATGAATTAATAATTCATTTTTTTTTTCATCTTCGCCCACCACAAAAATTTTTTTAGAATAAAAGAAATTCTCATACTTTATATTTGTTTTGGTACTTTCGGTAAAATATGCACTATTTCCATATACATTACCCTCGTATACCAAGTATTGTTTATCATTTTGATCAATTTCATACGGATAAGGTCTTAAAACATGAGTATATGCAAGCTTCACCTCAAATCTATATTTTCCTTTTGACTCGATGCGTTGATCAAAATATATTTTATAATATTGAATTCGACTAAAAAAATTTAAATTTATGAAAAGTATATGTCAAAATAAATGGGAGATGAGAAATATTTTCAAATGATAAAAAAATTATCGGATCAATTAATCGATCAATGAATCAATTTACAAAACTTACTTTGCTAAATCAAATTCAGCTTTTTCTACATTTAATATTTTGGTTTTTTTCCCCTTCGCTTCAATATATGATAAATGATCATGCCATTTCTCGGCAATAGGAAAATAATATTCATCGATAGGCTCTTCATGTATATTTTCTACATTATACGATATACTTTCTCGAACAATAGGATCATGAAGCTCAACAGCTCGAATCAAATTAACATTCTTCCAATATTGTGGTACACTGAAACTTCTACTAAGCTTTTCTTCTCTTTCTTCTTTTACTACTTCTACCGAATTTACAAATAAAAACTCACTAGTTATTATTATTACTATTGAAAATATCCATATATTATAGAAAATTCTTTTCCACCACAACATATTTATAAAAAAATTTTTTTTTTGAAAGCAAAAATAATTTAAGAATACATTTACGTGTAACATATCTACAAGTTTATCCAATCATAAATCTGTTTACTCTGACCAGCATTCATTCATTATCTGAGATTTGAATTGAGAAATAGAACAAATAGAACACACAAATAACAAATATTAATATATAATGTATCTGTTAAGGATGTATATAATTTAATAAATGCCAATTTATAATACATTTAATATCCTTACTTAATATTGAATTATTATTTGATTTAAAAAAAAACTCTTATTTATGCTAATTAATTTTTTTTTTATAGCCATCAACTAATTCTCTGTAACTCTTTAATTCTCATTATGGCTACAGTTTATTCAATATTATAATATTTTCCTTCAAAAACTGACTGACCTGGAAAATACATCTTGGGATCTACATAATATTTATAAGGTATATATATATACTGTATATCCCACTAGAAAACCAAACATTTCATTTTTAAATTTAATAAATTACCTATCCCTATTCCTGTTCTTGGGTCGTTTTAAATATAAATCTTGGCTGGCATATATTAGTAATATGCTATTGAAGAAGTTCTTCATATACTTCTTTATTAAACCTGTTCTTATTAAGAGTTGATTTATCATGAAAGAAATTTTATAAAATTTCATTAGTGAAATAGATTATCTAATATAATTTTCAACATGATAACATCCCCTTCCTCCACTCTGGAATATCTTTGTCCAATTTTTTATCTTGGCCTAAATATCAGTTTCATCTAATCCCAAGCCATCCTTTTCTGTTGTAGTCATAAAATAAATATAGACTCTTTAACATCATGAAATCTTAATAAGTTCTGGATTTTCATTAAGTTTGATAGTTGAACATTTGACCGGACCATTCTTCTCAAACAGCGACAAAATCTATAAGACTCAAAGGATAATCTGGTAAATAATTTTCTCCATAAATTGAACCAACTATGATTCACCATAAAGTATTGAAGATTCTTTGTCTTTTGGCCACTCATATTCTAACAACATTTGACATTTAGCCATTCTTGTTGAAAGTTTTTCCTGATTTTTTAAATTTTTATTTGACTCTTTAACACAGTGTCACCAGTTATGAGAAATAATAAAAATAAATTGAGAGGGGGGTCAGATTTTGCTAACAAATTGTTTAGAGTTCGATTTGATATGAGTTTATCAAGTTGAAACTTGTTATCAAGCCAAAGCCTGTTATGATTATTTTCTTATTCAAGAAATAGTTATTTTTCAAATACATTAAATTCGGATACCTTATATACACTCACCTCCCAAAAGTCATGGACCACCCCAAAAAAAAATTTTTTTATTAATATTTTGTAGAGCCACCATTACTATTAATACATTCTTGTATTCTCCTAGGCATACTTGATATTAAATTAATATAATATTGTTTATCTATTTCACCCCATTCCTTTTTTAAAATATTAAACAATTCCTTTTTATTTTTAGGCTTTCTTTTTGATTTTTTGAGTCGTCTTTCAAGTTCTGCCCATAAATGTTCTATTGGATTCAAGTCGGGTGACTGTGAAGGCCAATTCGTTAATGTTCTAATTTTATTTTCTTGAATCCAAGCCATTACATCTCGTGCAGTATGCACTGCGGCATTGTCATCTTGAAAAAGATAACCTTTTTCATGAAATTTTTTCTCAATGTAGGGCAACAGATGTCTTCTCATTATTTCAATGTAATCCCATCTATCCATAGTTCCATCTACTAAAATGAGGGGTCCTAATCCTCTATTTGAAAAGCAACTCCAAACCATAATGCTACCACCATTATGTTTCACAGTTGGTACCAAATTTTGTTTTTCAAAACGTGTACCGCAAGTTCTCCAGACATGATTTGGACCATCATTGTTAAAAACTGCAAACCTAGATTCATCTGACCAAATAACATTTCCCCACTTTCTAATAGACCATGATTGCTTCTCCAAACACCAATTAAGTCAGTTCTCCATTTGTACATCAGTTAATAAAGGTTTTTGTGCTGGAATACAAGAAAAAAAACCAAGATTATGTAAGGACCTACGGATTGTCTTCTGTGATGCTTTGGTATTAGTTTTTTTTTCAAAGTTTTGCTGTATTTCAGCGGGGTTTCTTATTAACAATTCTATTTATAACTCGTTCTTTTTCTTCACCAATTAAATTTGGACTTCCAGATCAAGGTGCAGAACTTGTTGTATGTGTGACTCTAAAGTGCACCAAAATATTATGGACTGTAGACTTTGGTATTCCAAGAACTTTACTAATTTCTCTCTCGCTACTACCAGCTCTGGACATACCAACAATTTGACCACGGGTTTCTTCATTTAATTCTTTCCTTTTTGAGTTTAAATTATCAACTTCCATTATTAAAAAAAATGTGACAATCAATAACAAAACTTTTATGTAACTCTTTATTCAGTGATGAAAATCATAACAAACATAAATAGATGATTCAAGAATATATGTAAAAATTTCACATGTAGTTAATAAATCAATAAAATTTCAATTGGTTTTCAAAAAAGTGGTCCATGACTTTTGGGAGGTGAGTATCAAGATAACACAACTTGGCAAGTACATATTTTAATTATGAGTGATTATTCTTTTGCTTTTTTGGTTATACCTTGGACCATTTTTAAATTATTTTTCTGAATATCTAGTCAAATTTGGGCCTTGTAATTCCGATTCTGGATTTTTGTTTTCCAATAAACTTCTTCCAAGCTTATCACATAAATGTTCAAATAAAATTTCTGTCTGCATATAATGTAATTTATCTGGTGGCATAATATTAATAACGATAAGTAACATAATAAAAATAACAATGATGCCCTTCAACACTGGCATAATGCAATGTGTTCAAAGAAGAACAAGAAATGAAGTATGGAACCATCTCATAATTGTAGATGGAAAAACTAAATTCAATCATTGCACTAGGCAAATATTTTTTTGACTTTCGAAACCATTTGTTTCCAAAAGCAACCATTCGGAATTCATATGGTATATATTTGAATTAGATTTGAACCAAGTCATCTATAGATTCGGACCAGGTTCGAATCAAATCAAAGCACAATTCGTATTCGATTCGTTCAGAGCCTTAATTTAGAAAAATATATTCATTGTAAATATTTCTTTCCTCTTAAACGATATATAAGATTGTTCCGATATTAAAATTATTATATGAACCTAATTTATATGGAACAACCAAAGGATTATATATAGCACCATTAAAAGTAAGAACAAGGTGATGATAAATTGTTATGTATGTATTTGAAATAAATGATACAAATCTTGGACATAGTAATATATTTGAATTTATCTCTTACAAACTGGCAAAAAATGTTATTTATTATAAAGGTATTCTCGACACTTGGAAAATTTCTGATTTCCTAATTTAAATTCATGAAAGGACTCATTAGCAATGTTGAAATTTCATAATATCCCCAAACTAGATTTAATATCAAAGGATTGAAAGTATTATATACATAATGTTAAATTCTATTCAACCCTGAAACACCAGATCTTTCACAACACCTATAACATGGTCCACACAATCAATATACATTGTCTTTCTCGATCAATCCAAAACTACCATCATTACATTTGAAGTTGGTATGATAAAATTTAGTTCGATGCTTTGACAGTAACCACAAATTACCAAACATAAATAAATCAAATAGATTTTTTATCCACAGCATTATCACAAGTGATCTTCAAATGTTTCTTGTCTTTGTCCAGTTTCTTAATTCCACATACCAAATGTGCCATTTGGACCTTTTCCCATGATCCCCATTTTCATTAACACAATTAAATA